AAGAAAACATCATTTTCAATTCGTGGGAAAAAAGAAAACAAAAACACTAAACAAGACCAATATACAGATCCCAGATCAAATACCAGTAGTTGAAGAAATTTTCACCATTGGAAAACCTGTGATTACCTGATAGTATAATTTCAGTTTCTCTTGACTACCAACATCTTCTATTCCAGAATTTCCGGCTGATTCATTTCCACACTCCTGCATCAATGATTGTCCAAGGAAGTCATCCAGAAGTGGGCTTTGCATGTGGTCTATTACAGAAGATGAAATACGCGGAAGAGCAGACAATTGCAAGAGAGTAGAACAACGTTCTCTGAAATTATCAACTAATGCTGGAGGAGATATGGGAGGAAACCGTGCTAGGGTTTCACTACAGGCATTGTCAATCCACGGACAAAGTAATTTATGTCCATTATCCAACTTTAAACTGAAGACTAAAGCTGCCTTCTCGACTGCGAAGAAATCATTCTGGTAAGAAAATTTATACAATTGAGCATTTTGTGAACTATACAAATAAAAAACAATGGCATACCCTGCTGGTGATTCCAGAACGCTGGTGTAGAGAAAAGAAGACGTGCCCCACATTCTTCACAAGCTATGGTGTCAACATCCACATTGATCCAGCCTCTTCTAGCACAATTGACAGCGCTTACTTTCTATAAATATCAGACATAACAAACGAGTCTTAATGTTTGAGGAAAACAAGATGTAGGTGGGTGACATAATGAGTTGGTAGTTAACATCCTGATTTTAATCGTAAAATGCCACAACTTTGCGATTATACTTTCCCTCGGCAATTAAGAGTATACACATAATCCTATTTTGGTGGAATAAGGTGAAATCACTCCTCTTAATAGTTGAATCGTATAATCTTTGAAACATTTATGCTTATAAATTAATTTAAATGTGTATATCAGAGTTGTTAATAGCACCCATAGCGGCCGTTATCGCGGCGCTCCAGACCGGAGCGGGGTCCTACCGCGCGCGCACATGGGTGCGGTGGCGGAGAGAGGATCGCGGGCGTTGTCGCCGTTAGACCGGGTCGCGGATAGCGGACGCCTCCGGGACGGCACGGATCTGGCCTGCTATTTTTTTTTTGGGACAAAATTACTTTTTTACTCCTGTTTTAAAATAGTTTTTAAAACACATTTCTGTTTCTCATATTCTTCTTCATGCCCTATTTCCTCCTTGTGTCCTATTTTTCCATCTTCTGCTTCTCCACCGTTCCAGCAACAGCAAGCCTTCTTCTACTTCCGTTCCACTTCTCCGCCGTCCCCGCAAGCCTTCATCTACTCCCGTTCCACTTCTCCGCCGTTCCAGTAGCAGCCAGCAAGCATTCCTCTACTTCTACGTTCCACTTCTCCGCTGTTCCGGCAGACAGCAGCCACCAAGCCTTCTTCTACTTCTCCGTTCCACTTCTCCGTTTCACTCTCAGCTAGTCTCGGGTAAATATACTTCTTTCGTACCGTTTCATTCTCTGTTTTCTCATCTCTGTTTCAACTCTCTGTTTCAACTCTCTGTTTCAACTCTATGTTTCACTCTCTGTTTTCTCATCTCTGTTTCTGTTTCTATTTTTATTTCTTTTCTAGAAAAATATGGCAGCTTCTTCGTCGACACCGAATTCTGCGTCGGTTGTCTCATGTGCTCCAACGTTCAAACCAACCAATAGTAAGGACATAGGATAGAAATACAATCATTTGAAGGTTTTGAATAACAAGAAGAATGTGACATGTGATTTTTGTAATTTAACCAGCAGTGGGGGAATAAGTAGAGCCAAAAGGCATCAATTAGCAATTACCGGTGATGTAATTTCTTGCACGAAAACACCCGAGGATGTTGAGGCTATATTACGTGTTGACATAGTTGAGAAAGAGAGAATTAAGAAAGGAATACAAGAGGTTTTGGTGCAATTAGATGCGGATGATACCATTGATATTGAGGAAATACATAGAATTCGAACCAGAAAGAGGATTGTTGAGAGTGAGACCTCTTCAATGGCTGTCAAGAGGACTAAAGGGCCGTTGGATTTGGTGTATAAGAAGAGTAAGGACACAAGCATCAATGATGCGTGTGATAAAGAAGCAAGGGCGAGAACCATCCAATATGTTGGTCGCTTTTTTTATACGTGTGGAGTTGCTTTTAACGTAGCAAATGCAAGAGCTTTTAAGTTGATGTTGGAAGCCGTTGGAAGTTATGGTCCTCATTTGAAACCGCCAGTTATCATGAACTCAGGGTTCCAATCCTTCGAAATGAGTTGGAATATACAAAAGGTTTGTTTAAAAACCAAGAGGTGCAAAGGAATAAATATGGATGTTCAATTATGTCGGATGGTTGGACGGATAAAAAAGGTAGAACATTGATTAATTTCTTGGTCAATTGTCCGACGGGGACCATGTTTGTGAAAAGTGTTGATGCTTCTAATTATGCCAAGACGGGGAAAATCTAGCCAAGTTATTGGACACTTTTATTGAGGAAATGGGTGAAAAAAATGTTGTTCAATTGATTACCGACAATGGAAGTAATTATGTAGCGGCGGGTAAAAAATTGTGTTTGAAGAAGCCTCACATGTTTTGGACTCCATGTGCTGCCCATTGTATAGACCTTATGTTAGAAGACATCGGCAAAATTCCAAAGGTTCAAAAGGTTATACAAAAAGAGGTTAAGGTTGTGGGCTACATTTATAATCATACTTTTGCTTTGAATCTAATGAGAAAGACTACCGGTAATGTTGAATTGGTTAAACAAGGAGTGACAAGGTTTGTTACCCATTTCCTTTGTCTACAAAGGATGCAAGAACTAAAAGGCAAGCTTAGAGAGATGCTACTTTGTGAAGAATGGACGAGTTCCAAGTGTGCCAAAGATGCTAAAGGACAAAGGGCAACTACTACTATACTTACGACATTATTTTGGAATGATGTTCTCTACACTCTTAAGTGCATGGCGCCTCTTGTAGATGTGCTAAGAATGGTTGATAATGAAAGGAAACCCGCAATGAGATACATATATGCCGCAATGGGGGTAGCGAAGGAATCAATTGAGAAAGCTTTTTGTTCAAATTCAAGCAAGTACAAAGCCGTATTTGAAATCATTAATAAAAGATGGGAGTGTTAACTTCATCATCCGCTACATTCTGCAGGTCACTATCTCAATCCTGAATATTATTATTCTAAACCAAAAATTGAGAATAATGGTAGATTGGTGAGAGGCCTCCGTAAGTGCATTGAGACACTTAGTGAAAGTTATGCAGTGGAAGATTTGATTTCAGAACAATTGTCACAATACAGGGGTGCTACGGGTCTCTTTGGTATAAGAGTGGCAATTAGACAAAGGTCGACATTAGCTCCAGGTAAAATGGAATGATTTTTTTAATTTTTTACATATGATACACTTTGTGTTATGTATATGGAATGATTTTTTACAATTACTTGCAACTGAGTGATGGAAGTCTTATGGAGTCGAAACTCCGGAGTTGCAATTGTTGGCCGTTAAAGTGTTGAGTTTGAGTTGCAGTGATTTCGGATGTGAGCGTAACTGGAGCATCTTTGAGCATGTGAGTATTAATTTTACTAGGATATTAAAGTATCTTACATGCAAGTATCATTAAATTAATACTTCAAATTATTGTATTTTAGATTCATTCCAAGAAGAGAAATAAATTGGAACATCAAAGATTGCAAGACTTGGTGTTTATCAAGTATAATCAAGCTTTGGTAGAGAGGTTTGAAATTCTGGATAAAATTGATCCTATGGAATTTAACGAAATTAATTTCCACACCGAATGGTTGGTGGGAGAGAAGGAAAATGTAGGAGATGATGGTGAAGACTTGGTTCCTCCAAATCATAATTTAACTTGGAGTCAAGTTGCCGATGCTAGTGGGGCTAATAAGCCTATAATCTACACTAGGAGGACAACAAGGTAACTTGAAGTTGGAAGTACTTCTCAAGCAACAACGACACCCATAGCAACAATTTCACCAAGAGCAACAATGACACCTAGAGCACCATTGGCACAACAAGTGGTGGAAGATGTTGAAGAAGTTGAAGATGAAGAATTGGAGGAAGATGTTGAAGAAGTTGAAAATGAAGAATTGGAGGAATATTTTGATGATGCTACATGATTTCTATGTTTGCTTGAATTTTTATATGATAGTACTAAGTTTGAATTCGAATCTTTATGTTTTGAATCTTGATTAAACATTGTTCTTTGTTTGACATTAGATTTTATAAATATTTTATGAGTGTTGTGAAATTAGTTTAGTATTATATGACATATATTTTATAGATTATAATATAATTATTAGTATAAAAAAAGTTATCCCGCTATTCCCATTTTTCCTATTCCCAAAGGTCGGCCGCTCCATTCCGCTATCTGGGATTAATAACTCTGATGTATATACGCATTTGAAGTGAGATTTAAGGTTTTTACGGTACTACTTGTGATCTATGCTTATGAATTCAAATTTAACAAATATTTTAAGTGATTTAAGGTTTTCTTTGTTTTACTTATGCTATTTATATGCATATATGAGTTTTAGAATATAAATCCACGACTTACGATTTTACTCCCCCTTCTCGATTTTGTGTAAAATGTTGATTTTAACTACCTTACTTTTATGCCAAATGTTGATAGCTATACAGCTCGTTCGTGTCACAACAAATAGAAGTAAAAAAGCGAAAGTATATCTTTAACGAAGGAGATGATATGCTATGAATAAAGTGATTTCAAAACTGTTATTATTATTCAACAAATATAATAAAAAAAGGATAAGTTTTTACTAAAACAAAACTCTCTCCATTAGCTTATTTGAGTTTATCTACTACTCACATAAACATTGGAGATACTCTTGAGAATAACTTATGAAAACAGTTTATGACATATCCATGAGATGTTTTTCATCTTATATCCATAGCTGATTCACAAGCACTCACATGATAAGAGCTTAAGATTAAGTTATTTATCCAAACACTCCCTAAATTCACAAAAAACAGATAATTTAGAGTGAGAAAAGAACCTTGGGTTTAGCAAACCATGAAATAGACTTAAATGTAGCCAATCTCTTCATGAAATCAGCGCGATCCCACGGTCGACAGAGATGACCTTGGGAATCTGCTGCAGTAACTGAAGAAGACTGATCATCCCCTCTCCTATCCATCGCTCCTCCTGATCCTGATACAATTGACTGAAAACCACGTTTCTTACCCCTGGAACTTGATAATTGCACCCCCGAAGAACTACAAAGACAAACACATTACTCAAATAAATGACACAAACACATGGACGCTATGAATTATGAAAGTGAGAATGAATTGTTGGAACCTGGAGTTGGAGAATGAAGGGTTGTTGGATGAAGATTTGGATGAATGGAAGAGCTTATCCATGATGGAACGAAATCGCTTCTCTGAATCTTGGCTCATTCTGTTTCTTCAATTGAGTTTCAGTTTCGCATCGAATCAAATGCGTTTATCTGTTGTCTTCATTTCTCGATTCTTTCTTTCAGAGAGATGACTGAGTTGAATTGAAGTAGCGGCTGAGTGGCTACCGTGAAATCGTTTCTACTTTACAGGCCCGATTTCTACTGGGTTGGGCTCAACTCGGACAACACTATTTACACCCTCTAGAGAAATTATTGGAATGAATCTCATATTAGATCATCCTTTTTAAAACAATCCAATTACAATTGTATTAGATTTCTATTGTATTATAGAATTCGTTTTAAAAACACATCGTTTATATAGTATTTTAAATTGTACATATGAACGTGGTATATTTTTTAAGGTGATATGATTTGAGACGCGCATTTATTTGTAAATTGTAATAAAAATAGAAAGTTTAAAAAAGAAAAAACTTTAAAATAATAGGAAATTTAAATTGAAATAGTAATACATCAACAATGTCAAGAATAATATAATTCAAAATAAAAACTATTAAAACTTTTATTAGATATATCAATCATTTTAATTTTTTTTTACAAATAAAACAATTATTTTAAAAAAGAGAATACAATTTTAAAATATCAATTCAATATTTAAAAAAAAGCTCCTTTAATCTTTTTCACATATTTGAAAAATGGATGAAAATTTTTCATTATTCAATATTTAGATTAATAATTGCATCGTTTCAGTTTCATATAGTTTTCACGATAAGAGAAAACAAAATTTATTAAAATATTTATTAACTTACATAATTGAATTATCAAAGTTATTAAGAAAAAATATTAAAATCATTTTGGTTTTACACTTTATTCACATACTAATTTTGTTTTCAAATTAATCAAATCTATTTACTATAGATTTTATGATAATAAAATACATAATACATCTTAGGGTAGAATATAATTTTGGACACTGGTCATAAAATAGGAAGTTAAAAAAAGAAAAGATTTAAGAATTTAAGTGTATTTTGGTAAGACACATTTTTAAGTTTATATAAGTTCATATGACAATTTATACTTGTTTGGTAACAATATTTTCATCATGAGTTTATAGCTTATTTTGTTAGTTTATAGTTTATTTTTCATACGCTATTTCAAATAGTATTTTAGCTTATAAATTATTATTTTTTCTTTATTTTTTATCCTTATTATTTTTATAAAAAAACTCACTTTTATTCTTTATTATTCATTTTGATTTAAAATGAAATATTTATGCATTAATATATTTTAGGGTTAAATAAGTTTTTGATCCCTCTAAATATCTGAAATTTCGTTTTTAGTCTCTTTAAAATTTTTCTTCAAAGAATGGTCCTCTTAAAAAACTTAATTTTAACTTTTGGTCCCTCCTAATATTTAGCGACGGTTTTAGTGACGATTTTAGCGACGGTTTCAATTTAGCGACGAAATTAGAGACCATTTTAGCTACGATTTTGTCAAGAGGGACCAAAAGTTAAAATTTAATTTTTTAAGAGGACCATTCTTTGAAGGAAAAATTTAGATGGACTAAAAACAAAATTTGAGATATTTAGAGGGACCAAAAACTTATTTAACCCTATATTTTATATTATTTTACATTTATAAATTAGTTGAACCAATAATTTTATCGAACACTTCAATTAGCTTATTAGCTATAAGTCTCAACCATCAGCTATAAGCTTTAAGCTATAAGTCATCATTCATCAATTATAAACTATAAGTTATCAACTAGCTTATAAGTTAACCGTTATTTTTATCAAACCGACCTTAAATTTAAATTGAAATAGTAGTACATGTAAAAGATGAAATCTACTATTATCAAGCCACTAAAATCCAAGGCCAGTACACTACCAAAAATGTCCTTCCCTTTATAAAAAATTTTAAAGCTAAAAGATTATATTTGTCTCTTCATGAATCCAACAATTTTATTCACTTCATATCAAACCAAATGATGTCACGTGTCCAAAACTTTCACTATCTCAATGCACACTTGCCCTTCAAAACCATTTTGTCCCTCCTTGTCTATATTCTCTCTCTCTCTCTCTCTCTCTCTCTCTCTCTCTCTCTCTCTCTCTCTCTCTCTCTCTCTCTCTCTCTCTCTCTCTCTCTCTCTCTCTCTCTCTCTCTCTCTCTCTAACCAGTTCCATAGCTTCATCTCAGAATTTTGGATCAAAACCATCGCCTCAACAACATACAACAACAACATGTATAAAGCTTTTTTGATGTCTACTTGAACCATTGATGTTATGGTGTTGTCCTGTTTGGAAGCTTTTTCCTTCATTTTCTTAAACAATAGTTCCTTTTCAAAAAGTTTTCCATATTTATGTTTACCACCCTTCATAGTTTGTATGCTATTAGCATCATTTTTATGTATTATGGTTATATTATTTCTGTTTTTACGACCTCTTTCTCTGTTTTTTTATTTTGCTGATGAAATTTTTGGAAATATAGCTTTTTTGCTTTTCTTACTTCATGTTTCATGATCATAAAGTCATGTGAAAAGCATAAATGATCCGTAAAAATGAACCATTTATCATTTTTGTTCTTTCACTATATCTTGAGTTTTATATGTCGAGGTTTTAAGGATAAAATATTTTTCTTGCTTTTTCTTTATGTGTTGTGGCTAACATATCACAAAACAGGATATTTCCGTATATGGTATGTTGTTTTTACGTTAAAAAGGTTGTCTATTTATAATTGTTTCAGCTTGTATGCTATTCTCACATTTTTATGCTAGATGTCAAGGGCTCCAATTTTTGGTCTAACCTAAAAATAGGAAACCAGGTTTGGAAAATGGGTGTTCATGTTTATGATTTGTGGACCGTCAAAGAGAGAAATGGTAGTTTACATATAGAGATCGTCATTCCAGATGCAAAGGTGATCAATCATGATTTCCATTGTTGTGTTTTAAAAATGTTTAATGGTCAACTAACCTGGTTTATTTAATACTTGACCTATAATAGGGACACAAAATTCAAGTTGTTACATGTCCAAGAGAATTCAACCATTAGGTGGAGGTGTTCACAGAAAAGAGACGTATATGTTGTATAATGGAGAACCCTTGGAAATGATATCCAATTGAAGGCATGTGACAATAAGCTCAAACTGTTGTTCAACAGTGCGACAACCCTCTACAAGACACCAATTCCCAACATACCTCCGCATAAATTAGATTTCAAGCCTATTTATGATTTTCTTGGTGGAAGTTACAAGCATGATCAGTTATATGGTAACTTGAAACTCTATTATTTATATTATTAGCATTTTTGACCTGTTTACTATCTGTAACTTATGTTTGTTGTTTTTCCACATTACTTTAATTGATAGATGTCATACAAATACTACACGGGGTCATTAGAAAACAAATTGCTAGAAACAACAAAAAGACTTGTGCTAACATTGCACTTAGTGACTATCATGGGAACATTATTGACTTAGAGTTGTGGGATGCCGTTGCTTCCAAAATATTTGCATATCTGAACTCAAATAACATTGTCACTCCCACTATTATTATGTTAACCCATGGATAGTGCAAATCAAGTGCAAGTATGTCTTTCTAAACTTGTCTCAAAGTGTGCATGTAAATGTCTTATGATTTCCTCCTAATTATGATTTGTCTTACATCTAATATTTAAGCTAAAAACAAACCAACTTTGTCTAATGCATGGAATGGAACTAAGCTACTCATCAACTATGATCAGCCTCAAGTTACCCATTACAGAACCAAGTAAGAATCATTTATTTGACAAATCTGTCCAATACTATTTGTTGTGTCCTTTTTCTGATTACGAGGTTCATTATTAAACCATCTTAGGTTAGGCAATTATCAGCCATGCACCCAGAATTCTCAAACTTTGTCGCAACACTCTGAATATGATAAGTTTTGGACCAACTCCAAATAATTCAAACCATACAAGAAATTAATGAGAAACATCGGATATTGACATAGCTTATTTCTACTTTTTTTTATAATTCAGGTTAAAACATTCTTGCATTGCATCATTTTTTATACAACCATTATGTTATTTAATATATTTCTAAAATGAAGGATTGTTTCTGCATAACCATTGGAACCACCTTGAGGTTCAAATCAACATAATCTGGCTGGTACTACAATTGTTGCTTAGGATGTAATCGTGCAATAAAAAATCTAGACCTACCTTTTGAGTGTGACTGTGGTGGACTCAATAATGTTGAAACATCCAAGTAAGCACCTAAACCATATTTTTATAATAGTAAAATCACTATGTTTGCAATTGTGAATGTCAATCTGATTTTCAAAAATTTATTTTGTAGCTACAAACTTGAAGTTGATGTTAAGTACAACGACCATATTTGTGCTTTCATGTTTTGGGACAAAGACAGTGTCCCCATTGTAGGGATGAATGCTTCCAAGTTGAGGGCTATAATGAGAGAGATCGGTTTTGTTAAATTTGCATCCATCTATGTCTTTCTAATTGTCCAGTAGTATATGTTTGTGTAATTCTATTGTAGGCTGAGGAAGATTATCCACAGATCTATCTTACTTACCTTGATACTCACCTGAAGAAAAAGCTGGCTTTCTGTGTCAAGTATACCACAACCTTTGGTCAATGCTCAATTGTACAACTTAATACGAATGTAGAGGTTTACAAAAGGATCAATGATTATTGGAACTCCAATGAGGTAATCATTTGTATTACGCGTGTAATTATTTTATTCGAGGGTTAAGTTTTATTATTTACATTGCATACACCAGATGTTGTCGTATATTATTTCAGCACACGTCAAATGTGACCATCGTGCAGACTTCAAATGTTTCTGCCGTGCAAACTCCAAACGTTGGTGCCCTCCAAATTGTTTCCATGAATCAAACTTCTCCAGTCATAACTAATATGGTCGAATTTAGTTTATAATTCTGATAACATTTCTATATTTTAGCTTACTTCCAACAATTACTAAACCTCATGTCTTCTTAATTCATTTGCATATCTAACCAACTAAATTAAGCATGTTTGAAACAAGCTC